AGGTCGAGGATAATAACCATTCAATAAATACTATTAATCAATCTCAACTAATCAAAGCTTTGAAAAAGTGTAGCTATCAAGGTGGGAACATTGGAAAAAAAGGCATATCTCCTAACCGAGTACAACATTTTTGTCTTCTCCCACGCTTGGGGACATTGCCAATACAAGTAGCCTGTTGGAATATCTAATTAAAGGTCGGTATTTTACAGCTTTCACCTTCAGCCTCTACATAGTTGAAACACACTCGCCTCTAACTTAGCCTTAATCTCGGATTTGTGATTTAGTTCAATAAAATATATATGCACAATATTGTATTATCTTGACCCAACCCAAAATAAATTTAGTTCCACTTTGAGTGGCCGTGACCAATAACCACACTGGAATATGGTACACCCCACGCTTTAAAATGACGTTACCAATCAAATAAAATTTTATTAACAACTTTGCTTAGGTACAATGTTTTTTCTCCAATAATTTAAAAAAGTCATATTTTTCATCTTTCTTTATTATTTTTTATAAAAGAAATCTTGACAAAACGAAGATATTTATTAGAAGGAAGAAAAAAAAATCATATCTATGATAAAATGACAATGGGGTAGGTATTTCAAATCAGGTTGGCTAGATCAATTTTATAGACGTTACTTTCAACATCAAAACATTAAAAAAAAAAAAAATTGAAAATGTAACCACTTGATTTGATTCTAATAAAAAACAAGATGATTCACATAATGCCTTTAAAAATAAGTGTCTTAGTTTAAATGTGTCTTGTAATGAGTGATGAAGGCAAAGAGGCTTGTAATTCGAGTCAAATATTTTAAAATTTATGATGGATGAATGATAACTGTTAATGAATAATTATTTGAATAATAATAACACAGCTTTTCTTTATAAAATAATTTTAAAAGAAATTGTTGTATTATAGAAATAGAATTAAAGTAATGAAAAAAAAGTTGTGTTTAGGGTTTGAGAGTTGTACTATGTTGTTAGACCGATCGTCACAGTCTAAAAATTAAACCTAAATACCGTAGTAACGGTAAGCAGGATCGAATCCACAGGGAGCAAGACTAATAACCTAATGTATTTTAAGTAGCGGAAATGAAATTGGCAATGGATTAATGAAACTAAATAGACTAAATGCAAATAATGAAATAGTGTAATTAAAACTAATAAAAACTTTATAATAAAAATGTTGCCGTTACGGTTTTGGTTCGACATGAGACCGACTCACACAATTCTCCTCCACCCTCTACGATCCCCTAAACCTACAAGGCAAGGTAAATCAATGAAATGGTTTCCCGACACTCTAGGTATAATCTATCCTGTCTCACCCGATCACTCAAGTTAGATTGGTTAAAGACTATCATTGAACGACAATAAACACTACAAGACAATACCACTAGTTGGTACGCAATTAACAAATACAATTTGTCAACACGTAAAATCCAATCAACCAACTTCACAATAAACGCAACAATAGTAGAAATTAAATTAAATCCGAACACAACTCAATTACAATCGATGCGAAGTAATGAAAAGCAATATTCATCATTTAATTATTTCAAACCAACGTTTATCATTCAGCAAGTTCTATGAAAACATTAAATCATAAAGGACAACAATATTCATCACAAATTATGTTCAAATCATATTAAAGTATCGAAATCAAACATGAAACGAAAACAAATATAATCTGAAGCACAATACTACCAAATGTCCTATAATCGGGCTCATCCAACTAGTCGAGAGCTGATGAGGAGAGTCGTGGAGTCAATCCTGATCTCGTCTATGCCGTAGCAGACAACGGGAGCTCAGCCGCTCATGTGGTGATGACGGAGGCCGAAACGGTGGAAATGGAGCTGACCATGGCGGAGAGGAGGTAACCGACAGTGATATGGTGCGAAAAAGGGGCGAAAACGACCAACGAACAGCCCGGAATACGAATAGCCGCGGTTCACCGGAAAACGTTAATTTTCCGGCGGGTCTCCGGAAAACGGTGGCGGAAATGGGATCCGAAAGTACCGATGGAAAGCTCTAGTGATGGGGAGTTCAGATCAGGTCCTGGGGAGGTGAGAAGTTGCCGGAAATGAGCAGGATCTGGCCTGGAAGATGAAGAGTCGCGGCGGCTAAATCACGGATTCCGGCGGTTTTCGCGGCGGCTGAAGCAAGGGAAGTGTAGATCCGGGTGTGGGGAAGGGAGATCGACCCTTGGGGAGTCGAATCGTCGTCGGAAAACGGCCAAAACTGGTCGGGAAGATGAAACGACGCGGTGGGAGGCGAAGCGTCGCGGTGTTCTGTGGCGTTCACGGTGGCGGCTCGCGGGATGATGGTGAGCGGAGCAAGGGGAAGCCGAAACATCACCGGAAATGAAGATGGAGGGTCACCGGAGCTTGATCGGAGAAGGTGAAGAGTTTTAGTGGCGGCAGCCACGTTTCTGCGAACTTGAACTGGAGTTTTATACAAAATTTGATAAATTTCCATTTGGTCCCTGAATGATTGAAACATGACAGAATCAGCCCCTTAAAACATGACATTTTACCCCCTAAACAGCATAAATGAGACAAAATCACCCTCAATCCATAAACCACAACCCAATATCAACTCATATACTTTCCAAAATCATTCCAAAAAAGTTAAATTAATAAGAAAAATATTAGGAAGCGATTTTCGTGAATAAATTCATAAATTCTTTAATTGTCTCAATATACTTCAATTTAATCACAAATGGGGTATTTTTATCACCAAAATAGAGTTACTTTCATGACTCTAACATATGTTCTCATTCAACAAGCCCATTTCCTGTTAAATGCGATGCTAAAGCAAGAGAAAAAATTTTTTTTGGAATAAAAGATCTAAATAAACATGCCCACTACATAAATCTATTAAATATTTACTACATCAAAGACGACGAAGACAATGCATGACCATGCAAGTGGAGTTAGTGAGATACCCTATGCTTTAAAATATATACGCACAATGTTGTGTTATCTTGACCCAGCCCAAAATTAATTTAGTTCCATTTTGGGTGGCCGTGACCAATAACCACATTGGAATATGGTACACCCAATGCTTTAAAATGATGTTACTAATCAAATAAAATTTCATTAACAACTTTGCTTAGGTATAATGTTTTTTCTCCTATAATTTAAAAAAGTCATAATTTTTCATCTTTGTTTATTATTTTTTTATAAAAGAAATCTGGACAGAAGAAGGATATTTATCAGAAGGAAGAAAAAAATCATGTCTACGATAAAATGATAAAGGGGTAGGTATTTCTAATCAGATTAGCTGGATTAGATTGACGAAGCCACTGCATGCATGCATGGCATGGAATTGGAGTTTGGTGGAGTTGTTAATCCCACTACGTAATTGGGGATTAATTTATTGAACCCCTTTGGTTTTGCTACCTATCCTGTGCACCCAAGCATTTACAAGATCACCCATCAAACCATTTTTATTTTATTCGTTTTAACTCTAAGGGTTGCTTAATCAAGTAACTTAAAATAATATATACATTTTAATTCTAAACTATTCAATTTTCATATGTATTCAAAATTAGGAGCTTGCAATATACATCCCTTAATATCTCTCTCACTTTCAACTTTTGTATTTTCAGAAGAATTACATGTGTTATTATTTTTATAACTATGGTTACTTATCTTTAATAAAAGAATATAACGTTTTAGTATTGTTCAAGGTCACTCCTACTAAATAAAATTTGCTCCGTCCCTACGCAACNAAAAAAAAGCGTATGTAATATGTAGAATGTTATGTTATAGCCGTAGTCCATATTTGTGGAAAGGGGTTAGGGCGAACGATCTCCTAAAGGGAATATTAGTTCCACTCTAAATCTGAAACATCATGACCAATAACCACATTGGGATACAGTACACCATGTGCTTTAAAATAATGTTATCAAATCAAAGCAAATTAATTGAAAACTTTGCTTAGGTACAAATTCTTTCCTATAATTTAAAAAAGTCTTTCTTTATTTTTATTTTAAAGAAAACTTGATAGAATGAAGTTATTTATTAAAAATAAAAAAAATAAAAATCTAGGGGATACATAGTGCCTTGAAAATAATAAAGCAAGACAATAGCATTAACTGGTATACTTTAACATTGATACATAATTCAAAAAACATTTAAAAAAAAAAAATTTACTATATATAAAAAGTGTCATATATACTTGCTATTCCATATACTTGTTATATCTTACCAAATAGAGGTTTATCAGATGGAGGTTGAGAAACAAATACGCTCAATATGTTTTGTAGATACCTGTTTTTGAAATTTCTACCTTTAAATTCTTTTTCACATCCATTGGAATACAAAATATACATGATCAAGAATTTATGTCTAAACTTAAATCAAAATATAAGTTAAAACATCCCATCCCTATATATATGTGTGTGTGTTTGTGTGTACGCGTGAAGTTTGAGAGTCTTTTGGTGTAATTTTTATGAAAATATTTATAGATGAGCCATACACTTTTCTATTTCCATGGTCATAAGAGAATAATAAACTGAAAAAATGGAAATTTTTGGAACACATGCATTGCAGCTAACATAATCAACAAACAACGAAACATAATGAGAACCATAGCTTCTTGGTGAAGCGCCATCTTCAACCAGAGGTGCTAGAGCTCTCTCTCTCTCTCTCTCTCTCTCTCTCTCTCTCTCTATATATATATATATATATATATGAACCAAGAGGATCCATGGCCTCGAACAAGAGTTAATGGAAGTTAAGAAATCCTCACGGACTTACAACAAGTAAATAATAAAAATGACCAACTTAAAAATATAGTAAATTCGTATACAACAGCACCTTGATGGTGTTCGGGTCACTAATCCGGACGACCACTAGGGTACTACTTACCCCTGGTAGTAAATATCCCCACGAGAAGGCATCTGTCTGATTCTAATTGTTGAAACTTCAGTAGTTCTTTCTTCAGATGAAACGCGTGGTTGGTTGTGGAGGATACTCTTGAGTATCTTGGCTCTAAATTTTTTTGTCCTTTGGCTGAGAAGTTTGCCCATTCTCAGCAGGATTTTCTGTGATCTCCGCATTCTTAGCTTTAGTCGTCGGGGATTTTTTTGGGGCAGACTGCGATTTCTGATCACCAAGATCTCCTGCACGTCCTCCGGCGCCTGCTTCGGATGGTTGCTGCGGTGGGAAAACAGCCCCCGGGACCGGAGTCTTAGCTTGAATATGCTTTGATTTTGTTGAAGCAGACGACGAGTTCTGATTACCGGATGGTTTCGGCCCTACGAAAGCAGCCCNCCATTTTGGGCTGCCGTGAGCAATAAACACATTGGAATATGGTACATCCCATGCTTTAAAATGATGTTACCAAATAAAATAAAATTTCATTAACAACTTTGCCTAGGTACAATGTTTTTTCTCCTATAATTAAAAAAAGTCGTAATTTTTCATCTTTGTTTATTATTTTTTTATAAAAGAAATCTTGACAGAACAAAGATATTTATTAGAAGGAAGAAAAAAATCATGTCTATGATAAAATGACAAGAGGGTAGGTATTTCTAATTAGACTGACGAAGCCACTGCATGCATGGCATGGAAGTGGAGTTTGGTGGAGTTGTTAATCCCACTACGTAATTGGGATTAGTTTATTGAACTCCTTTGGTTTTGCTATCTATCACTGTGCACCCAAGCATTTACAAGATCACCCGTAAAACAATATATACATTTTAATTCTAATTTCTTAAATTTTCATATGTATTTTTTATGATACCCTGAGAGGAAGATTTGTTTTCTAGCAAAATTAGGAGCTTGCTATATACATCCCTTACTATCTTTCTTACTTTCAACTTTTGTATTTTCAAAAGAATTACATGTGTTAGTATTTTTATAATTATGGTTACTTATCTTTAATAAGAGAATATAACGTTTTAGTATTGTTCAAGGTCACTCCTACTAAATAAAATTCTACTCTATCCTTATGCAACGCAAATATAGTTAACAAGAGCTAATTAAACATGCCCGCAACATAAATATATTAGACCAGTGAATTCTATTGAATTTTTTTTTTTTTTTTGAAATTTTAAATAGAATATTCTCTTGAAAAAACAAGACTTTAAATCAAGCCATGTTATTTTAGTAATTTAATATTTGTCATTTAAGTTTATGATTAGGGTTTCCTTTTTATATAAGGGTTGTTATTATGTTTTTTTTGCTGACAGAATCACTAACATATTATCTAATAGAATTATCAGAGCATAATAAGTATTTGTTTTTCTGTTGCTTTTGTTGGGAATATTTTGTTACATCTTCTCCATGGAAAGAGAATGATAAGGGTTCATGAAAAATGTTATGCTACTCATAATTCAATTACTTATTTACCTTGTTAAGGAATTATGTTAGTAAACGTCGGAGAGAAGATTTTTGGTGTAATTTTTTAAATATGAAGAGATATGTGACATGCTCTTTTATACTTGTGGGGTGTCATTAATTTAAATCCAAAGCCTGGGGGAGGTAGAGGAGAATAACCACTTAATTAATAACCTAATTAAAGGTTTGAAAATGTAGCTATCCACATGGGAACATTGCAATAAAATNTATATATATATATATATATATGAACCAAGAGGATCCATGGCCTCGAACAAGACTTAATGGAAGTTAAGAAATCCCCACGGACTTACAACAAGTAAATAATAAAAATGACCAACTTAAAAATATAGTAAATTCGCATACAACAGCACCTTGATGGTGTTCGGGTCACTAACCCGAACGATCACTAGGGTACTACTTCTTCCTGGGAGGAAAGATATCCTGAGGAGAAGGCATGCTCATTATTGAATCTCCAATAGTCGCTATTTCTTACATTTAATTGTGGATTTTTTTTTTAAGCAGACGGCGGGTTCTGATTACCAGGATGTCTTGCACCTCCACTAGCCCTTACTCTGGATGGTTCTTGCCCTGTGAAAATAGCCCCTGGGCCCGGAGTCCTAGCTATAATAGTTGCAGATGGGTTCTGATCACCAAGATGTCCTGCACCTCCTCTGGCGCCTGCTTCGGATGGTTCCTGCCCTGCGAAAACAGGCCTCGGGCTCGGAGTCCTAGCTATAATAGTCGCAGACGGGTTCTGATCACCAAGATGTCTTACACCTCCTCTGACGCCTGCTCCAGATGGTTCCTGCCCTGCGAAAACAGCCTCCGGGCCCGGAGTCCTAGCTATAATAGTTGCGGACAGGTTCTGATCACCAAGATGTCTTGCACCTCCTCTGGCGCCTGCTCCGGATGGTTCTTGCCCTGCGAAAACAGCCCTCGGGCCTGGAGTCCTAGCTATAATAGTCACGGACGGGTTCTGATCACCAAGATGTCCTGCACCTCCTCTGGCGCCTACTCCGGATGGTTCCTGCCCTACGAAAACCGCCCTCGGGCCCGGAGTCCTAGCTATAATAGTCGCAGACGGGTTCTGATCAACAAGATGTCCTGCACCTCCTCTGGCGCCCGCTCCAAATGGTTCCTGCCCTGCGAAAACAGCCCCCGGGCCCGGAGTCCTAGCTATAATAGTCGCGGACGGGTTCTGATCACCAAGATGTCCTGCACCTCCTCTGGCGCCTACGTCCGGTGTTGAAGCAGACGGCGAGTTCTGATTACCAGGAATCGTTGGGGGCTGATTTTCATGCCGTTCATCTCGTCTGGCGCCTGCCTCGGATGGTTTGGCTTCGGCAGCTTGTCCACTGGGCAGATTATTCATATTTCACCTGTAGAATTACAAAGGGATTTCACTTGCCCTTGGCAATGGCTTCTCCTCTGAACGGATGAGTGAGTGGCCTTTTATACTTGCATTTTTAAGGGTTAGGTTCCCCTCTAGAATAACCAAATTGTTCATTATTCTATAAGAGGGAAACAAGAGGACAAAATATTTGGTACAATCATGCATATATATATATATATATATATATATATAAAATAGGTAAACGAAAAACACGTCATATTATTTGCACTACATGACATAAATGCGTCCTTATCAATTGTCGTATATGACAGATGTTGTATGAAAGTTTTTCCTCAAACAAGGCATAAAAATGTTGTTCTTTTAAATTTTGAGAAGAGTGCAACAAGACAAAGTAATTGGTATAATAGATATACATGTTTTCTCATTAGTTGATGCATCTTTATGCATAGAAATTTTTTTTCTCAAAAAATTGTTCTTTTGAATTTTGAGAAGAGGGCAGTAAAGAGGACAAAGTATTTGGTGCAATGGATGCATATATGATATGTAAATGAAGACGTGCCATAATACCGTTCACGACGTTTTACGCGTTCTCATTAGCTAATGTATATGTATTCATTGCACGTAAGATTTTTTCTCAAATAAGAGATGTGGATGTTGTTCTTTGAATTTTGAGAAAAGTCTACTCGTCTATCTCAACTTTAAGAAAAATACTTCTATACTTCATATTGCCATACAATATTGATAGAATTTGAGGTAAGTTTGATTCTACACCCAATAAGGTCTTATTGAATGGAATGATTACTCCCTCTTATAAATCAGTAAGCTTGAGCGTGCCTAGTCGGTGTGGGACTCTAACACTCTCCCTCACGGTCAAGCCCATATGTTGGGTCATGCCTATTGATGGAGGTAGTTGCTGGCTCTAACTTCTCACCTGTTGGTCAAACACTCAGCTCAACTAAACCTGGGCTCTGATACCATGATAGAATGAGACTCTAACAAATATATCATTGACAAAGTGAGGGCATTTCATATTCTCATTGACATGTTATAATTCCAACAAAATTCATGAAAGACTTTCTCCAAGCTAGAAACTAAGTAGTTACTTTCCTGACAACAAATATTTAAGCAGAAGTTAAAAAAAATTAAAAAAGTGTTTAACCAACTAAAAATAAAGTATCAACTGTACTATTCTTCGTCGGGGGTAAAAACAAATAGGTAGCAATTTGAATACTTCCCGACTACATGTGAGGCGTTCATATTAAAATTTTCATTTTATAATCTGCAGCTCAACATACTATCAACCCCAGAAGACTGCTGCTAGCAACCTTCAATTTCAGAGCCCACAAAATCGTTGGTCGGCCACCCTAAATGAAGTTCTAGATAACGGTTATTTGAACCCCGTTTATCTTTATCTTTCTCAATTATTGAATCAAGCTCTGTTGCTAAATAAACATACGTACCCACTACATAAATCTATTAAATCAATGCCAAATAAACAATACGTACTGCATAAATTTATTAAGAGTGATGATCATAAAGGAGTCACATCTTTTCTCTAAGAAAGCTCCATTCAAAAGATAAAACGATCATATTCAAAAAATTTCATTTGTTAGAAAGTTGTACTGTGTTCTCGCCCAACAAACCCATTTCCTGTTAAGAGCGATGCTAAAATAGATGATTTGTCTTCTATAACTAAGTCAAGATTTGAATAAGCAGTGCTAAATAAACATACTTACTGCGTGATTGGAAGTCGTTGTCGAGACCCTTTAGTTTTGCTACATATCACTGTCCACCCAACCATTTACAAGATCTCTCATAACGCGATTTCTATTGTTTTAATAATCAATAATGTTACACACTTATCTTTATTTCTGATGATTTCATGAGGAAGATTTTGTTTTCTATTATAAGTATCTAACAAAATTAAGAAAAGAGAAGCTAAATTTCTTTCTATCATATTTTCACCTTTTTGAAATTTTAAATGGAACAGTCCTTGAAAACATATGTCAGACTTTAAACTAAGCGAGGTTATTTTATTAATTTATTATTTGTTCTTTTAAGTCTATTGGATTAGGGTTTCCTTCTTATATAAGAGTTTGTTTATCATTTTATAAATTCTGTTTTTGCTATTTGCTTGTGTTGGGAAATTTTTGTTTTTTGAATGCTCGATGGTTGAATTGTTAGTCATCTCTCCACTTTATGATCTTTTGTTGTACTCATATTTATCTTGAGGAGAATATGGTTGTAAATAAGCTTGCTATAATTGGCCACATGCTTTACTTGGTGAGACTTATTGCCACAAAGCATCAAAAAAGAAAAAAATGTTTGATGCTGGTTGTTTGCTATACTATTGTTTCTTTAATGATTAGTTCTTCTCTTTCTTTATTCAGGCATACAATTCATGCTCTTTCTTTCATTATTGTATTTTACGCAATTGTATTATTTTCTTTCATTATTTTCTTTGGTTTTATTATTGTACTTAGTCTTATTTGAAGTGTACAGCTCAGGACATACCCTTGTCATATATATATATATATATTAGGAAATCTCTAGCAAAGATATATGATATTAACTTCGTCAAGACCATATTTATATGCCGTTGGATTTACCTTATGCGATTGAAATGATAGTTAAAAAACACAAGGTAATAAACTAATGCTCAAGCAAATTAAGTTAAGAATCATTATTAAATTAAAAGAATAGGAAAAAAGGAAAGGAAAGAATAAATTTTTGAGAATTTTAATCAAATGTTAAAAACTTGTCTCTGATTAAAAATAATCAAATGGTATAGCAACTCAACAATAAGTCATAATTAACTATCATTCATAATAAGTGTAGCCGACATTGGAAAAAAAGACATATCTCCTAACCTATTTGTCTTCTACTCACACTTTGGGACATTGTCAATACAACTAACCTGCTAGAATATTTAATTAAAGGTAGGTATTTTATAGCTTTCACCTTCAGCCTCCACGTAGTTGAAACACACTCACCTCTAACTTAGCTTTAATATCGGATTTGTGATTTAGTTCAATAAAATATATATGTACAATGTTGTATTATCTTCTTTCTTTGTTATTTTATTATAAAAGAAATCTTGACAGAACGAAGATATTTATTAGAAGGAAGAAAAAAAATCATATCTATGATAAAATGACAAAGGGGTAGGTATTTTGAATCGGATTGGCTGAATCAATTTTATAGACGTTACTTTCAAAAAAAAAAAAAAAAATGAAGAGAGAAGGTTTGGGCCAAATTTTGAAATGTGAAGTGATGTCAAAGATGCTATTTTATACTTATAAGGTGTCACTAATTGAAATCCGAAGCTTAGGGGAGGTCGAGGATAATAATCATTGAATAAATACAATTAATCAATCATCTAATCAAAGCTTTGCAAAAGTGTAGCTATTATGCTGATGTCCGTATGATGAAAAAAATCCCAATTTTTTCAGAATTCAGTAAAAGGCTTCCATAACAATCCTATGATCAAAGTTGACAACTGATTACAAATTCAATATCAAATTCATAAACAAATAGATCTTCAATCCATCCTTAATTGGTTTTGCACACTATCATACTGTTAGTGTTAGATTCAATTTATTAGATCTTATTGATCACAACAACTTTGGAGAGTACGACGAAAAACAAAAACCAAATCCGACATTAATTAACTATAATCTGTCTCAAGGTACATTTTACCATGAATATAAGAGTTTATGACTTTATTCTATTTTGGTTAAACAAGTATTCGTAAGTAATTTGTATTTTTAAGGCAAGCAAGACACTTATTCTGATGTGGAATTTGCAGTTTACAAACGGCAGTCCAGAACATTGCAGTTTGCAAACTGCAAACTGGAGTCCACAACATTGCTTTGCAAAATTGCAGTTTAATTTGCAGTTTGCGAACAGCAGACAAGAAAATTTGATGTGCAGTAACGTATCACATGAATTAACATTCAACAATGAACAAACGCAATCTCATACTGATTCTTTTCACTCCTACATGCTACAACAATATTTCCACTTTGAGTGGCCGTGACCAATAACCACATTGGAATATGGTACACCCTATGCTTTAAAATTGTGTTACCAAATCAAATTAAATTTTATTAACAACTTTGCTTAGGTGCAATATTTTTTCTCCAATAATTTAAAAAAGTCATAATTTTTCATCTTTCTTTATTTACACAAGAAATCTTGACGACATGAGGATATTTATTGGAAAGAAAAAAAAAAAATATATTTATGAGATACGTAAGCCAACCCTTTTATAAGCAATATGATCAATTTCATAATTTTGTTAACAACTTTGCTTAGGTAAAATATTTTTTCTCCTATAATTTAAAAAGTCATAATTTTTTGTCTTTCTTTATTTATTTTTTTATAAAAGAAATCTTGATGGAATGAGGATATTATTAGAAAGAAAAAAAAAAGGTTACCTTTTATAAGCATTATGATAAAATAACAATGGCATAGGTATTTCAAGTTAGATTGGCTGGATCAATTTCATAAAAAGTTTTCTTCTCTTTCTTTATTCGGCTACAATTCATGCACTTTCTTTCATTTTGTATTTTATGCAATTGCATTATTTTCTTCATTTTTTTTCTTTGGTTTTATTATTGTACTTAGTTTTATTTGAAGAGTACGGTTCAGTATGACCATTGTCTATATGTTATCTTTATATATACATAAAGTGTACCATCAGTGGGACATTGGAAGAAAGACATCTCCCTAACCTATTCGTCTTCCACTCACACTTTGGACATTGTCAATACAACTAGCCTGTTGGAATATTTAATTAAGATATATGCACACTATTGAAACTACTCACCTCTAACTTACCTTAATATCGGATTTGTGATTTAGTTCATAAAATATTATGCAAAATGTTGTATTATCTTCTTTCTTTATTATTTTTTTATAAAGAAATCTTGACGAATGAAAGATTTATTAAAGAAGAAAAAAAAATCATATCTATGATTAAATGACAAGGGTGGGTATTTCAAATCAGATTGGGT